TATTAACTTTTAAACCTATGAACTCATTTATATGATTTAGTAAGTGGTCTCATTTGCGAAGCTCAGTCTCCTACAAAAGGTAAGTCTGTTGTTCATACTGTAGTGCTAAAATGATAAACTGTCATACGTTGCATTCAGACAGCACCAACATTTTCTTGAATATATCTACTGAGAAACAAATTCCAGTTTGCGACAAACACGTGGTTCCATCCATGTAGCTTCCTCATTGCGGACCATCACACCTCAGCTTGTTTCCAAAGTGTTTTTTCTCAATTTGATTAGAAATACCGTCTAACATCATTGACATTAACGTGATACATAAACCATATTCTTTCTATATGGTCAAGTGTGCAATGAAAGGAGAACGTGTAGTCTTATCATGTTACCTGTAATTGAAATTATCCAGGAACATTGACTGTCTACAATTGTTAATTAGACTACTTTCCAGCATATGCATCGCAATTGGTGATGAAACACCAGACAGAAAGTACCGTTTTTGCAAGGAGTAAGGTTCACTCAATTCTAAACTCATTCAGTGTTTGCATTTTACCTTTGAGCTGCCTCACCAGTCTTGGAGCAGATGGTGAACAATATTGATGATCTACATGTTTCATTATCTTTTAGATGACATAAATGCCGCCATATCGGAATATGGGAAACTTTATGCAGTAAATATTCAGATTCGTTGTAAGTAAATATTACTTACACTAACTGTAACCCCAACTAGTATTTCATTGGCAGTATTTAAAAATAGTCAATACTTGTTAGTTGTACATGAGAATATAATGTCAGATATTGTCTTTTCGGTTGTTTAGATAAACTTCTCATTATGGCATTGAAATCGGATATAAATCTCACACTGGAAGAAAGTTATACCTGTAAGTATTCAGTTAAAATACATATGCCAATTAGAGACTGACCAGTTGCAGTCCTAAAACATCAATGGGAAGATTCAAACAAACAATACTAAGTGAATTTATTCAGTTAATATATTTTTACACAAGAAGCACAAACTGCTCAGTTTTAGTAGTGTCTTATAAAGCAGAATCTTATCTGCATATCTACTGTATTGACAGTACCCAGTAACTCCACATGGAGTCGAAGAGATTGTTACTGTATTTACCGAATATCAAACTGAACATCAAGGAAAGTATGTGAAAGGAATTAATAACGGTGTTTGTATATCAAATGGGTTGGTAGTGCTTCAATTTGCAAATACGACTGATTGTAAACTAGTAAGAGTTTATATTAAGACGAAACCCATATCCTGGCTCCCACAAACAACAACCCATATCTACTAAAAAGCAGAGAGTTTTAGTCAACAGACTTAACGAAGCTAAATGACAAAATAACTGTTATTACGTATTATGTTAAAATTGGGCAAAAATGTATTCTTAAAGAAATAGAAGGTCATACATCACTTCTCCCATTTAAATCTTTTGATTTGACCATCTGTTTACCGTTCCTAATCGTTTGTGTAGTAATTCGCAGGTCGGAAGATGAATGCCAAGTGAAGTGGGCACTTAATTATCTCAAAGGTATGTTGCAACGTTTCGTCATTGACACGCAAAAACTAAGTTTCACTCCATTGCTAATCTTGACCCCTAAACAAAGTATGAAACGTTATCACATTCATCTATCTTTGATGCGCATTTGTAAATCTCCCAACTCATCGCTGGCAGGCTAGTTTTGATATAAAACATGGCCTTCATTTGGTACTGTCTGCCTTAATACCACACATTTGCTGACATTCCGAATTCTTTTGAACAATATCGATGAGTTTGATCATGCGGCTATTTGTAATCTCGTTTCCGAATTCGTAGAAATCTGAACTGTTGGAGAACACAATTTCTACATTCATTTCTCAGAGTTCCGAATATACAAACGCAAATAACTGCACATACATATGTATATGGAGTTTCCTGCTACCTATGTGCATGCTGTTAATCATTGACAAAGAATGTAGACGTTTCATCCTTCAATCTGAATATGATGCCTTCAGATTAATCAGAGGTCGTCTAGAGAAGTATGTAGAGTTGATATTGAGTAAGTAGTCCTTGTTTAAAAACATAAAATAGACATATGAGGATTTTTAGTTAAAATTATTCAACCCCTTAACCTTTTTTCTTGATACTCACTCAAGCTGCTGGAGCAGCTTGGAAACTGGAAAATGAAGACACATTCAGAATGAATATGGATTCTTATATGGGTAAGCCTTGATAAATTGAAATAAATATCCCTCACATCTTTGAATCCAAAATGTGTTTACTTTTCAATCAAACCATTTGATAAACTAACCAATTTCATTTACAAACAGGAAATGAAAACACCGGTAGATCATAGATTTTCTACTTCATGAAAAGCAAATAGTGTTGTTCCATCAAACTGATAATGTCCGTTTCGTTTACCACATTATCTTCATAAACTTTACTCAACTTTAAATGTACACATGCCTTCACATATTATCTACCTCGAGTTAAATATCACTTGTTTATCTTACAGATGTGAACAAAACCATTGTACCAAACATCTGTGAGTGATGCGTAAATTTTAAATTTTATTTCACACAACAGAAACACTTTGTGTTCATAACTCACTATGGATCATTTTTCAATAAATTACTACATTCCAACCATCACTACCATATTCTATCGTAATTAGCAAATCTGAAACAATGATGAAATATTGTACTTTATTCTACCCATTAACTATCTAGTAGGTTGCTAGGAGTTATTAGTAACAGTCTGATGTGGAGTGATTTAACCCTGATTTCTCCATCTCTGAATTTCAAAACAGCTATAATCTTTTAACACATGTTCTTGACATTTTGTATCACAGTAAATTGATTTACACATACTCCTTGTATAAATCTGTCTGTAATTGTTCATTTCAGGTATGACTATGTTGCAGCAAAAAGGTGATAGAAACTGGGATGACAATATTCAAAAAAAAATAGAATATGGTGAGTTCAATGGAATTTTATTCGAAATATTTGCGTTTGAAAATCTTGCTTTAAATAGCTTGGTTGTATGTCTCTAGGCTGATAGGTCACAATTTATTTCTCCACATCGGTCTGTCATCTTTCAACCAGTAACAACCTTCTCCAATGACTTGAGATTATGACTATTGGACGTAATATCCTTAAAATAGTTTAAGATGTCTAATCTTTCTTCGCATAGTCAATAGGCACTTGCAAGTATTTGGAAGCCGCCTGTAGATCTGAGGATGCAGCCATCTCCCAGAAATAGTCGATCAACATGGTTAAATCGTACATACGTGTGTTTTCATAGTTTCTTTGTTAAGGAAACAAAAGTTGAATCCATCCGTTTAGTGAACATCATCACAATACCTTCTATTCACTTTAAGGAATCATGTTCAAATGGTAGATCACAGAAGAGAAGATTACTTACATAACAGCTATATGAGAATACTATCAAGTTAACTTACTTATTCACCTGTGCCTTTGACACGTCAACAGGTTGTGAAGTCCTGAAGAAATATTGCGATTGGAAATGGGGAGCACGAACAAAATTAGATTTGATGACAAGTAAGCAAATGTTTCTCACATTCAATCAGCTGTCAGATTCTGCCTATCGCATGACTAGTAGAGCCATTCATGTTTGGGGACCAACCTCATGGTGTCAACTTTTGAACGTGATTTTCATAATACGCATCTAAGTTATTTGCATGATGTGATGAATTTTCAAGTTGTCATATTTGAGAAAGCGAAAAAATGTTAACTGACTTGACTTGAGATTCATAGACCTACAAGATTACCTGAATTCAATAGGTGTAACAATTTACCAATGAAGATGTGTTGAAACACGTTTTAGTGTGGATTTCGTGTCTTTATTAACAAGTCCATTGTATCCTGTTTAAGGATCGTGACATTCCATTTATACAGTACTTGTATTCTGACTCGGATTATTTGGGTTTTCATTTGTTAAACCTGTGCATTTCATAGTTCTCAATAAATGATTCTGAAATGTTATGTTCTGTCGGAATAACGTCTAGCAGTATCATATGAATTTCTTCGAATAGCATATACGGAATTTTATAGTGCTAACTTCTATGTTTTCTTTGATACAGTTCAATGGTTGGCTGGTTCAGATAAAAACAGTCAATCACGATACATTACAGACAGGGGTAGGTTTGTTTTTGAAAAGTAATGAGTTGGTGAATTTGGTCTTTACTCAAATATAACTTACCGACTGATATCAGTTTGAGCCGTACCGCACTCCAGATAAGATGAAAAACAATACTTGCCTAAATCAGTTACTTGTGTAGACGATATAAACTAATACGTCAATATTTAAGTTACTCACTCAACACTCATCAGCTGAGAGGCAAATTTGTCGACAATACCAAAGGTATTGCTGAAACCATAATATGACGAAGAAATGAAACTGTAACTTGTAAGCTGAGTGATGCAAATAATTTAGACAATAGAAGCAACAAATTAATGTTTTATAATTTATGCTAAATAAGAAATGCACGAAAAATACACGTTATACTTTTGGAATGGAATACAATCTATGGAAAACATTTCCAGTCAGTGATTTACAATACTTCGATTTCAATTACAATAATTTGTACTGTAAAGGCACGCAAATCTTATGCGAATGAAACACAATCAAGCTCAGAACAAGTAGATATTGTAAAGTGGAAAAATGGGTAGGAAAAATCTCTATTGATAGAGGACATTAAAATAACAGTGTCGCAACATGACATCGGGAGTCAGCATTCGTACAGGGAAGAGATTGTTTGTGTCTGAAGGCATGTCTCCCTGCCTGCCTGTGTATGTGTATGTGCGTGTGTAATTATGCATGTACTATTATTGTATATTTATCCCAAAATAAATGAGATACTCCTCCAGCAATTGTGAAAACAGTTTTGATGATATAGCAATTGATTGTGGAAATATGTCGACCCTGAGATGAAGTCAAGCAAAAATAAGAGACATGGTAAGGAAGACAATCAAAATGGTAAGAAAAATATTATCATTGTAAAGCGTCGTTCACATTAGTTGAGAATGTTTCTCTCGATGATGGAAACAAGGAATTTATACATGGGACATTTTCATTGTTCGGGTCAGAGCTTATTGAATCTAGTTGCGCTTCAGAGGTATGTTGCTCATCATAATTATCTTCATGGTCCGCTTCGTAATTTGTTACATAATCCATTCCACACACCACAGAGGCATCTGGAAGAACATCAATATCTGAAACATGATTTTCTATCCTATCTGTTACGTTAGGGAAAGCATTAACCGGATTTGAACTATCTAGTTGATGGTGACGTCGGCGGCGACGTTTAGCAGCTTTCACATCTGAACTTTGAGATGAAATAGAAGTAACCTTATCTCTTATAGGTGTGGAACTTGCTTCACAATGTTCACTAGGTATGTTGTTCTCATCGTCAGTTGACTTAGATAAACAAGAAGAGCAATGACTCGAATCCTTCTGTGAAGGTAATGTATCACTAAATGTTGGCTGACCTGAAACAAGAAACAACTGATTGCCTGATACAGCTACCGTAAGGAATTTCTTTGGATGCCAGGATAAGTGAAGTATTTTATGTCGACAGTGTATCTGGTGCATTCCAGGGACAGTTGATGTCCCTGATAGAAATTCTTCGATAGACGTTTTTTTAACAGGCGGTGAATTTAAAATGATACCTGATAACTCATGACCATCATTTGAATTCGGTACTGTGCATGAAGAACTAACACCATATCCACATTTCTCTACCATGTCATGTGGAGAACTCTTGTTATGATGACGATGTTTACTTTTGTGGTGACAACTACGGGATTTGTCGTGTTCACTTTGTACAGCACAATGAGAATCAGTAGAATTATTAGTACGAGAAGGAAGGATTTGCTTTCGACGCTTTGAACCTGTTGGAGGTGCTGAGGGAGTATTCTCTGGAGGGTTGAGATCATCTAGTTGACAGTTATATAGCTTCGTTCTGCCAGGTGATACCTCTAAGGTGTTCGAACTATCGTCAACTTTATTCCAATCATTATTATCACTACAGCTGCTATGTGAACTGGTTTGACTTGTAGTTTCTGGAAAGAGAGCTTCCACAGCATCCAATGGTGCTACGAAAATTGAAGATAAACCTAACCGACTTCCAATGGGATCATCAGGAGACATAAACCGTTTAGGTGATAAATAATTCCCAGTATTACATGCAGAATTTGTGTTATAAGGATTGCTTGAGTCGTCAAGGTCATACAACCAATCAGAGCCATTGTGGCGGTCAAATATATGAAAGAGATTGCCGTAAGATCCCGTTATTGCATACCTGTATATAAAATGTAAGTTATATTGTATGATAGAAATATAAGATTTAAGGTTGCAAAGCACCGACTAGAGCAAACATATCACATCTCGTTTAATCCTTAAAAATCCAACTTCTGTATCAATGCAGAAGTTTCAACATTGAACATAATCGCACTAGTGTGATTTTTGCGAATCACAACAACTCTTCATCAGACGAAATATATTTTACATTCAGTCACCAGTAAATACCTCAAAAGTCAGTAAGGGCATCAACGAACCATTTTCATGGAAATCGGGCTTACAAATAGTCATATATTATTATGGTGAAGGAACTCGATAGTGGGAAGATTAATTGACGAGCTAGCTAAGTTTCGGTTGTACACTGCATTCCCATAATAAGGGATGATACAATTATTTTCTTCCCACTAATGCCCTATTGTTAAAGTATGTGGACGACAGTTCAGTTAACAAAATACCACAACTATCTTATTCAATACACGTTTTAGTCAATCACATGGAACGTAGGACCTGACATATAAGTGCATCGGTGCAAGTTGTCTTACTATACTAGTCCAATTAGATAGCATTGCCAAGACAAGTAAATGAGTAGCATGAATAGTTACAGTAGTAGAAAAGGTTATGTATGGCAGGAAAAAATGTAACAAGATTTCTGGATTCCGGATTCAAAGGGAGATAAAAAGTGAATATATCTGCGCACTTGCGAACGATTCTGAGCCATGTCACACCTCGATATGTTTATGAGCCATAATTACCTATCATTGCAGTTATTTAATAGTATTCTCGTGAACCCAGAGATAAATAGTGTGTAACGTGTTTACCAGCTACAAACTCGTGCACATCAACCTTCAGTCACACTATTTCAGATATAAGGGATTAGTGATACTACCACCTCATCTAGTAGTTGAATACTAATTGATTTAACCATAATATTGATTAATTAAGCTCACAGAGAGAAAGTCCATTAAGAGATTATAAATCCAAAACACTGAACGAAGGCACTAACCAATATCTTTATGAAAAAGTATGCTAAAGCTTTTATGAAAACATTTTAATACCTACATATTTGACGAAAGATTCAACGGTCAGTGCAGCCAGACGTTTACGTTTTGCGCTACATGAGTCACTAAACCACTTACACAAAAATTCAACGAATCAAAAAAATGCATGCGTCTGATTGGTCCGCATGTACTAGATAGTCACATCCGTTTATTCATTGTAATTGTTATTAAATTTTTATCGAAGAACACAGATAAAAAAACAACAAGTAATACATATTTTTTAAAGTTTACCTATCATCATCAGACCATCCACATAAGAATTTATCAAAAATAGCGTCATTTTCATACAACATACAAAGTTGTGATCGAAATGGTTCATGAACTGAATAAATTTCACACGGTCGATCGCCCATTCTCATATCCCAAACTGAGGTAGAGAAAAGTTTAAGAGAAACAATGAGTGAAAAAATCGGTAAACACACGAGTAAAGTATTTCTAGCTTCCAGTAAACTATAACAGTACGTAGGTTGAGTTTCAAAAGGTTGAACTTCAACCAGCACCTTGATCAACAGTATGTAGTGAAGTGTGAACAAGTAATAGCTCATATCTCTGAGAAATAGTTAAGGCGCACTCACTAAACCGAGTGTGAATACAACTCACTAAATTGAAACCTCTTGTGGTTCAACTCAAAGAACACTAAACCGTAGCACGTAAGTTACTACACTCACATAAACTAACTGGCTAGCATTTTAATCCGTAACCTTGTAAGTTAGTAACGAAACAATGAAACAAACTTATAAGCCAAAAGAAACTATTTCTATGAGAAGAATGCGATAGAAACCGGAGGGGAAAACTAAGCATCATTATCATTAAATTTTTATGGAACGATGTTTAAAAGCACCTCGAAAAATATCACACAACTATACTGATAATAATAACCGATGGAAACCATTAAAATCGCTATGTTCGTCATATGGATTACTACCAGACCTGAAGACTAGGCCATGAATCGTCATGAGGCAATCAGTTCTACCGACATGTATAGAACTAACGCTCATCTCGACGATTAACCTTGGGAAAAACTTTAACAAACCACTTTATCATTATAGTTTTGGAAAGCTGATAGGTGCCTCTGAATTACTTTACTATCTTTAGTGTGCAACCATACTAGAACCTACTGCTTAAAACGGTTGGAATTAAACAACAACTTGCGCATTTGATTGTAAAAGTGTGTGTTCAATCTGCCTCTTCCAAATATTAAATAAATCATCTTTGATGTCCAGTAATCCAATCCAGTCTGCCGAACCTCTGGAGTTATGGCACTTATAAGTCGATATCAAAACTATTTATTTTTCATTTTGCATTTACAACCACAATACACATTAATTTTCAAGTCAGTCTGTTATAAGCAACATAGAATCTGGTACATGTGTGCATCAGTTTAAACTCCAACACCATATCAGCACAGTCAGATGAAATAATAGAAACAACTCTCAGAGTGGTAAAAGTAGTGACAGTATCAGTTGTAGCACGACGGATTAGGCGTAGACAATACTCAATAGACACGACTATGTGCTTATAAGATGGATAATTGTAACGGTATACGTATCAACACCAAGGTTCGACTAAACAATTTCAAATAAATTGAGTACTAAGTTGAATACTAATCATAAGTAACGGTATATTTGTTCGTGTTCTATCCTAAAGCGATTACCGCTTATGTGTGATGTAATAGTGGAACGTATCAGCCACTTTCTAAGGTGAAGAGAATTATGACCGATACGATACGCCTCATCATATTTTTTTATTTCTGCTGTACTTCACAGGTTATAAATTTGGAGCTTATAGGTGAGGTAAGTAAGGTCTATTTCTTGGTGACGACCATTTAGGTTATTCTTCGTTGAATATACCTCGAGTGGTCTATATCCCTCTTAGATATGCGGACATGATGAAGAATGTTTAGTAAACAATAAATACAGTTATAAGTAAACTTGCATGAACCTGCACGAGCATTTGATATCAGTAATGATGAGTAAGGTCCTGGCACCTCTAGAAAAGTACGATGTGGACGGAGTATCACTGTATCTGTTTTCAACTCTCAAAGCAATGTGTTCCTCGGTCTTCCTCTTTTCCTTTTCCCTCCAGAATTCTGAGCTAGCTCGTGCCTCGTGATGCAGTTCGGTGATTTCCTTAATGTATGTCCTATCCACTTTCAACATCTTTTCCTAATTTCCTCTTCAGCTCGATGCTGGTTTGTCCTTCCTATTTATTGTGTGCTGATTACTGCATGAACTTGTTCACGAAACATAAAGTTGTTGGCTTGTTGATGCGATTTCAGAGTAAAATCTCGGACATTCTGGTTAAGATGCCGCGAGTATCCGGAGTTAGATAATGCCTTTACGCGCAACACATTTGTAGGTAGAGTCGAATCGCGATTGACTATGATCAGCACTACATGAAGATTACGTGCCAGATATCGACTTGAATCCCTCGATAGGCAAAAAACCAGAAGGCTGTTAATGGTTGCAATAAGATATATTTCCTGGCGATCTTGTGGTATCGAAAGAATACCGAGACGTACCAAAGTTTACGGGTGGAATTGCCGAGTGTAGGCAAGTTCATGCAATGTCACAGGCAACGGAAGGAGACGTCTTTTCGGTACAGTTAAACAAAGAAGTACAGTAAAACATTCCCTGGTACAATTGGTTATAATAATAACTGGTCACACTATACCGATCAAGTTCTCGTCACAAATGTAGGTCACTACACATTGATGGCCGAAGTATGTTAACCCAGTCTAATTCAAAGTCAGGAAAAAGAAGGTTCAAAGATATATTCGGTAGAATATCGATATATTGAGAAGTGATTACTCCAAGCCTGTTGTGGTTGCAAAGGATACATAGCACGGCGAACCTACTCGTAATCTGGTTTCTAACTTTCAGCTAGCTGAGTCCATCAAAACTAATTCTGTCAGCATCCAGTGTCAAAGACTTACAGTACAGTTTATTTCGTGTATTAACTTTTCACCACAGTGTATTGGATAACATGGTCGGGGTATTTTGTAAGCTTAACAGTCACTCACCTAGTTTAACAAAAGGATATTAGTGAATTTCTGCCAGAACTTTGTTTCCTTCAGAAATATGTTATGTATCTGAAATGAACTGCGAAACAGTTGAATTGTTGGGATTCTTGGGGTGAATACTTGTCTGAAGATGAGCTTGAAGAGAAGGTAAGAAGTTCGTGATCAGTGAAAAGAATAGGTTCTCGGCCTTCCACGGATTGTTGAAAATACCGTACAGCATGATGCATGGCCGAGAGTTCCCTATCGAAGGTTCTCTACCTCGATTCAGTGTCTAGCAACCGCTTCGAGGTGAATGATAAAGGTTGTCAGGTGTGGTTAACTTATCATTATAAGACCCCCCCCCCAGTAGGCAAGTCGCATGCGTCTACTGCGACACTAATGAGTGCTTTGGTATGCTTGTTCGAGAGTAATGTTGCTTTTGCGATAAGTTCCTTAATTGTGAAGAATGCATTTTTCTCTATATCGTCAAAGTTAATGATTTTTGCGTTTCCACAAAGGTGGTCGGTCAAGGTCTCATAAAACACGTGCAATTTGGTATGAACCGTGAATATAAACTTACTAGGCTGTTGACCATTCGCAGTCACTGGGCTTTGATGGGTTACGGGCAATCCAGAATGACCACCACATTGCTTTTCAGAGGTCAGACGTCTTAAGAATTAACATTGTGTCCAAGGAAATCTAAGTAGTCAGTTCGAATTTGATATTCCTGAACATTTACAGTGATGCCGTATTTTTGCAGTCGTTTTGAAAACAGGATCTAAATGCTGGAGACTAGATTCAATATCTGAACTTGTTATCAAGCAGTTTTCAACGTACGCACGTATAAAGCTGAGACCTCGAGAAACGTCATCGGCGAATATCTGTAAGATATGTGCGGTATTTCCTAAGCCGTAATGCATGCGCAGAAACTCTTAGAGTTTAAAAGGTGTGATGATAGCGGTTTTTGGAATATCGTCAGCAGCCATGTGAATTCGATTACATGTTCTAGCCAAGTCGATTTTCGATAAGACAGTTGTACCGTTCAAGGAAGCTGTCAAATCGTTAATATGGAGCAACGGATAACGATCGAGAATGGTTAGTTTCCCCATGCAACAGCCGATAGTCACCAGTTGAACGCTAATCTTTACTGACCTTTTTAGGAACTGTGTGCAAGAGAGATGCCCATGGGCAGTATGATGGCCGAATGATTCCTAAATCTATCAAGTGATCTAATTCGTTTTTGTCCAACCTCAGCTTTTGGAAGCCAGTCAGCGTGCTTTCGAGAATACAGGCGGTCCTGTCATCGTGATGTGATGTGTAACATGGCTGGTTGCACACGGCAATTTCGGTCGCGCTTGGTATATCTCAAAGTACTTATACAGTAATTGTTGATAGAATGGATCTATCGTGTGTCCAACTATGACTGGAGATAATCTGCAACCGGAAAAAGAAGTCATACATACAGATAATTTGGTGTTTCCGTTTACTAACCTCCGTTCGCGCGTGTCGATGAGTAAATTATAGTTTTGTAGAAACACTATACAAATGGTTGACGTAGAAACATCTGCAACAACAAAGTTCTAGTGAATGCGTTTGCGTAAGCCCACTTTAAAATACACATATCGCTTACTGCATGTGGACATCTGTCTTCCATTTGCTCTCTGTAAGTTGAAAGTTGATTCGTGTAGTCGGTCGTCGGATTTTGAAGGAAAACGCTAAATTCTGCTCCAGTGCTAACGGAATAGCGACTTTTATGCATCACATTAGTAAGATATAAAGGACGGCTTTGTTCACAGGGTACAGATGCCGTTAACGCGAGCCGATTAGGACGTTTTCAGAAAAATTTTCCGTGTCGGATGTTATGAAGCTCAGTTATTGTACGGTTTTCTGAGATTTCAAGATTTACTGTGTCACCAACACCAGTGTAAATTATTTGTTACTGGTGGTCAAGAAACAGATATTTGTCGTAGCGCAATTATTTGAGTAGTTTGAGAGCGTATGCAGGATTACGGTCTAGTTTGTTGTCAGTAAATTTGTAGTGGCATTGGTCCTTTGCACAAAACCCTCAACGTTGAACACGAGATAACTAGGAAAACTCATCTTGAACAATTAACACAAAGAGAAGGTGAATAATGGACAAGGTTGGAGGAATTAATTGAAATCAATCAGATGGCATGACTTAGCCTTGCTGATGTGGTTGTTGTGTGTACCTTATCTTTACTCGTATTAAGTATATTATTCTATCTTCAGCTTAAACGTATTCTTTACAAACACTAAACGAAATATCGCGGATTGTTACGAGACGATAAATCTATTTGATCTTACGTAGATGTCACATCATTGTCTCTTCTGACTCGTCATGTCGTGACAATTAGTTACCTACCTTCCATCGCCCGCATTGTCCGAGAGTATGATTATATATGTAGTTTGTATTTTGTAATTGATCTAGCTTGGCTGTAAGAGTTTGTCTTTTGACATAGGTATGTGAATGCACAATACCGGCATGTTTCAAATCCTCAGCAGTTTCTCTCGCAAGTGTCCTTATCTACCTCATAAGGTTTGCCACAGTCAATCATAAGACATTCAATCACCGCTTTCGTATTCCACGCAGACATAGTGCATCTTTTTGAGCTACAGCAAAACCTTCCTCTGTGCAAGGGGATAAAGCTGGCTAAAAATCCAAACTACTTGCCGCAGTGTTTCGTACTGCATATTTCTAACGCAGATGATCTATTTTGAGTGGTTGAGGGAATCGTGTAACCAACAGCTAACTTCGAAGTTACATTATGCGGCCAGCACCTAACGAGGTTTTTTTCTCCGTTGTATTAAGATAATATTGCAGTTTTAAAGACCGTATAACACAAAGGACGTTATTACAGAAGTATAATATTTGGAGTAGGTACAACCGAGAGTGTGACCACCAAGACATGGGCCAATCCATTGTGTGAGATTGACTGGTGCGCGTTGGTTATTCTCGACCTTGACGGAGATCGATGAACTGTTCGAAATTGAGTGACCAAACTGACAGATGGTTTGTCCAGTAATCGGCTAAATTTCATTGGTCCTACAGTGCTTATAGGACCTACAGGTTATTTTCACGTCATCACTAGTTCTTCTTACCGAAGTTATGATATTACACCTGAGGAACGAGCACATAGATTCGTGCAAACTATCCTTTGTCCGTAGATATATCTTTTACTTGATGGTTTAGTGACCACACGATTATTAGTGCCGTTACCAAGATCCAAAAATTTACTTTATATATGAATTTGACCAGCACGAATAGTCTTAAAAGTTATAACATTCTTCTTCTTCTGATTACTGAAGTTCACTTGGCGCACTTTCAGACTAACCTCAGCTTCCAAAACACCTGTTCAGTATTATGCATTGAAGCGCTTCGCTTACGTTGACTGAGATATCTCTCGAACACAAAGCACAATGAACAGTATTGAGTAATTATAGAACAATACAAACAGTTATTCATTGCAATAATACTCTACTAACTGGAGAAAGTAAACTAACCTTAGAGGTGGAAGCCTAGGTCTTACCGGTTACTTGACATTTCATCTTAAACTCCGAGCAAATATAAACCACTGATATAATTACCGTGATATTAGCGTTTACGCTGCTCAAGAAAATGATAATCAATAACATCTCAATCTCCTCATTATAGGGAAATTTTGAATGGAATCCCGAAAATCCATGTTGCGCATTTTTCCAGACAAACAGTTAATCACCAGTGCATTTTCAAACATTTTAAGATGAAATTACAATTAACAATAATAATTTTTAACATGACCATGAACCTCAGTCAGCATTACATTACCAATGTTTAGATTTTAATTTAGTATATAATCTTAGAAAATCATTCACAGAAGATCGAAATTGACGCACACAACGAAAGTCACTATGTTCGCAAACCTCGTAAAAACTAATTCCACTCCCACAATTCTCTCTGTATTTATAAAACATCTGTCTATTTCTTCTCATCATGCCCGGGGAAAACCCACTTCTTATGTTTTTGAACATGCTTTACTACTCAAACGCATTGTACGATATGCAAACGCGGATTGATCCACGATTGGAATAACAGAAACAATTATTATTATTGTAACCAATTGTACC